GTATCCTTGAATCCTTTCTTGCCTTCATATCTCATATCAAATCTATTAACAAATCTACCTCTAAAAATATAACTAGAATCTAGTCACTTTTTTAAAGAATCTAATCACTTTTCACCACCTTCATTGTTACCACCCTAGATCTAAGCCACCATCATTCTTCTTAGACTATTGCATAAGCATCCTAATCATTATCCCTGCTTTACCTCTTATCCCTAGAGTCAATTTCCCTCACAATATCCATAGCAATATTTATTAAATGTAAAATAAATATAAATACTTCTTTTCTGGTTTAAAAGTCTCCAATGTCTTCTCATCAGTGAAAATAAAGTCAACTTGCTATTGTGGCCATACTGGGGTCGGTGAAGGATCTCAGGATGGCTGAGTGAAAACTTGCTCTAAAAAGGCATCGACTGGGTAGCTTTTGGGGTGATCATACCCTGAGACCAAAAGGCCACTGATAACTCCCTGAAATCTTGGAATGAGACCCTACCCTCCAGATTGGCTCCTCTACCTGAGAATCTACCTGCTATCAACTGGGATTACTACAAAGCAATTGTGGTGAAGGCCAACGTGGCACATGGCTTTGAGAAGAAGCTTAATGCCCTGAAGGTTCCTGTGCCAGAGGACAAATACACTTCCAGGTGGATGCTAAAGAAAAAGAAGATGTGAAAAGTTGTGCTGAGTTTTTGTCTGTCTCAAAGGCAAGGATTGAGTAATATGGGAAAGAGCTGAAGATGAAGAACATAATTCCACTTGATCAAATAACCACTGAGGACATGAATGAAGTTTTCCCAGAAACCAAATTAGACAAGTATACCAACTGACCTCAACAGCCAATTGAGAAGTTATAAACTTGAGTCTGGGAGGAAGTTCTGGCCCTCATATTACAAACTCTGGACCTTAAAATAATTACATTAAAAGATAGATAGATAGATAGATAGATAGATAGATAGATAGATAGATAGATAGAGAACAAGGGAGAAAGGGAGGAAAGAAGGAAGGAAAAAAGGAAGGATCAAAATTCCTAACCATGTCTACAAAAAGTCCAGCATAATCGGGCCCCTAACTTCTCACAATTTATCTCTATTATTCTCCTCTTTGCTTATTTTGCCTTTGCAACACTGGCCATCTTTCTGCAACTCACAAATGCCAAGCTCGTTCCCAAATCAGGGCCATCATAAGCTTACTAGCTTCATTTAGATCTCTTATTCAAATTTCACTTTCTCAGAGTGCCTTCCCTGAACACACTATCTAAAATAGTGACACACATATAACCATCACTCTTTATGCCGTTACCCAGCTTTAATTTTTTACATGTACTTATCACTTAACTGAAATCTCATTTTTTTTAATTTTAGCTTTATGGAGGAAAAATAGTATAAAATAAACTTCACATGTTTAAAGTATACAATTTGACCAATTTTGATCAATGTATGCATCCATGAAACCATCATCATAATGAAAATAGTGAACATATCCACCATTCCCTAAAGTTTACCAGTTTTACTGTTCATCCCAACTTTGTTTCAATGATTTTTCACTATTGCTTTTCTATTTTCTATTTCATTTTTTTTACTCAAATATTTATTATTTATTTTATTCTGCTTACTTTGACTGTATCTTCTTTTTCTAGTTTCTTAAGGTAGAACTGAGGTCATTGATTTGACACCTTTCTTCTTTTCTCACATAGGCATTTAGCACTTTAAATTTCCCTCTAAGTACTGTTTTAGTGACATCCCATATTTTGACAGGTTATGTTTCATTTTAATTCAGTTCAAAATACTTCCTAATTTCTCTTCCGATTTCTTCTTCAATCCATGGGTTATTTAGGTGTACAAAGGTCTGACAATGAATTTCGCAAACTCATCCTAGAAAAGTGCTACATACCTCATTGCTGAATATCACTATGGTCACCTTTGAAGTGCTCACCTTGGGAAGCTATGCACCGAAGTCTAGTCTACCATTCAAAGCAATTTTGGAACTCTTTTTCTGGAATGGCCATCAGAGCTGTCATCGTATTACTCTTAATGTCCTGAATCTCATCAAAATCTCTTCCTTTCAATATTTCCTTTATCTTCGGGTAAAGAAAGAAGTCATTGGGGGCCAGATCAGGTGAGTAGGGAGGGTGTTCCAATATATTATTTATTTACTGGCTAAAAACTCCCTCACAGATAGTGCCGTGTGAGCTGGTGCATTGTCGTGATATAAGAGCCATGAATTGTTGGAGAAAAGTTCAGGTCGTTTTCGTCTAACTTTTTCATGCAGCCTTTTCAGCACTTCCAAATAGTAAACTTGGTTAACTGTTTATTCAGTTGGTACAAATTAATAATGAATAATCCCTCTGATAGCAAATAAGTTTAGCAACTTATTTGGTTACAACATGGTTACAACAAGTTCACTAACTTAATTGTCAGAACTTGCATGTTACTTAGTTTTCAAATATTGGGGATTTTCCAGAAAACTTTCTGATATTAATTTTTTATTTAGTTCCATTGTGGTCAGAGAATATACTCTGAATGACTTCAATCTTTTAAACTTATTGAGTCTTGTTTGATGGCCCAGAATATAGGCTATCTTACAAATGTTCCAAGTACACTTGAAAAGATTATGTATTTTACCGTTGTTGGATGGAATGTTCTATGAATGTCAATGAAGTGAAGTTGGTTGACAGTGTTGTTCAAGTCTTCTATATCTTTGTTGATTTTCTGTCTGCTTGTCATTGAGAGAGACATATTGAAATATCTGACTATAATTATGGATTTGTCTGTTTCTTCTTGCAGCTGTATCAGTCTTCATGTACAGTATTTTGAAACAGAATTGCTATGTCTTCCTGATAAATTGACACCATTATTGTGATGAAATGATCTCTTTATCCCTGGTGATATTCTTTGCTCTGAAATGTTTCTTTTTTACAAACTCACTGTCTGTTTCTCTTGGAAATATAAATACCATGAGGCCAAGCTCTGTATCTTGGTCTATATTCCTAGTACCTTACAGCGTAGCTGGCATTTGGTGCACACTTAACAAATCTTTATTAAAGGAAAGAGAGAAGGGAAGGAGGGATTGGAATACACATGCAGATGTAGAGCTACACACTAGTATTGAAAAATAAGTGAAGAGGGCCGGCCGAGTGGCGTGTTGGTTAAGAGTTGGCTTGGGACACCAGCTCTGAGCAGCAGGGCCCCAGTTTGGATCCCACATGAGGGCCAGTGACGCTGTACCCTCTACAGCTAAGATGGTGAACAACAGCTCGACCTGGAGCTGGGCTGCCGTGAGTCGCTGGCAACGGCATAGGCTGCAGCCCCTGCTGCAGTGAGCTGTCATGAGCTATGGTGAGTGGCTGACAGCCAGCGTGAGTGGCTGGCAGCCAGTGAGCTGCCGTAAGCCATCATGAGCAGCCTTCCAATGGCCAGCGAGCTATCTACCTCAGCCGGGAAGAGCACAATGATAATACCAACACGGGCCAGTGAAGCAGTGTCTTCCACAACTAGACTGAAGAACAAAAATAACAGCAACTTGTCTGTTCCCCTTCCCCGATTCCCCAATACTGTTCCCCTCCCCCAATTCCCCAATTAAAAAAAAAATCTTAATAAAAATAAAAAAATAAGTGAAGAAAAGGTGCCAGTATTTGTTCTGAGGAGCGTATAATGGGCAAAACAAGTACAGAGGCAATTTCAAGAGTATGATATGAGCCATAAAAAGGATAAGCACAAGATGCTTTGCAAAGTACAGAAGGAACTTCTGATCTAGTCTAAGGTGATAAGTAATGGCTTTCTGGAAGGGTTAAACCTAAGATAATATTGGAATAGAGAACCCCCCACAAAAGAGGGAAGAATGGCCCTCCATAAGGTGTCACAGCATGAGTAAAGACACACAGGTAATAGAGAATATGGTGCTGGAGCATAATGAAAGTATGCTAGGACTCTCTCAGGGGATTCCTATTCTGTATAGAAAACATATTGCCCAAGCAAGAGCTACAGCACAATGAGTCCTCCTGGCTAGTGGGCTATTCTTTGGTATGCCCACACATTCTATTCCCAATAACTGAACTGTGTGCTTATTAAAGAGTCTCTTAAAACTCCTAACCTGTTTCTGCTAATAGTTCTTATTAGTAGTAATAACAATACAAAGGTAATGAAATATGAATGCAAAAGACAGTTATCTCTATGAGAACCAAGTTGAATGCTTTAGAAAAACTAGACAGATGAACAACAACAAAAAATTGTTCTCAAAGTAAGTGTGAGAGAGAGAACTGTAAAAATTGGGGGTTAAATTGGCAAATTAGAAGACTGCTACTTTAAAATATGGCCAATAAGAATGGGAAGGGAAGAATGGAAAGAAATGTTGATGTGGTAAGCAGGACCCACAGGGCTTTACATCTCATAAGGTGTTTGGATTTCATCCTGAGGTCAGTGGTAAGCATTCAAAGGTACTGAGCAAGACAGTGACAAAATCAGGATCACATTTCAGAAAGCTAGCTCTGACTGCAGAATAAAGGACAAGACAATGCAGAAAGGCTTGTCAGGAAGCTGTTGCTTCCCATGCAAGAGGTGATGGTGAACTAAGAGTGATTTTACTATGATTATTAATCCTACTAAGGATTAATTTTTTAATGGGTTAAAGAGGCTTTTGTGGGCTAAGAAACCAACATTGCTGTCAGTTTTCAAGGCAAAGCACGTTCCAAAGAACCAATTACATGCCAATTAGCATACAACCTACTCATGAACTGGGAACTGTTTACAACTTGCTTGCCATTAAAAATGATAACATTGTACAGAAGTCTCTCTCATTTGCTTCCCCAAAGTACAATCTTAATCTGGACCATTTCTATTGCAATTGTCAAACCTTCTTATGCGAAGGACATCTTAAAAAGGACTGTTTCTAAATATGATTTTCAAAAATAGATCTTTTTAAATGTTCGTACTAACTAGAGGTTAGGCTTTGGTATCTGTGACTATAAATTCCTCTTAGTAACCAGAAAAGAAAATAAGAACACTTACCTCATGAAATACTGCTCCAGAATACGGAGACACTCCCAAGTCCAACAGTGAGAGGCCTTCAACCACTGAAAAGTAAGACATCACTCTTACTTCAAAGACATAGGCAGATGGCCATAAACCAATGTGTTAGATACCCTCAGGACCGAGAAGGACCTTACAGTTGATCTAACCCCCTTTACTTCATTCCCAGGAAGTGGCTTTAAGTTTTGATTTGAGCATTTCTGATCATGGGGAGCTTTCTTCCATACAGAGTATCCCATTGCATTGTGGGGAAGCACTCATTATGAGAATGTTTTGTATTAAACTATAATAAGCTTCCTTCAATTTTCTTGTAACTTCCGCCGACTCTAAAAAGTGTTTCATTTATGTATATTCTGCTCCACTCCAAAACACGGTAAGATACCACATTAGAAGCTGGTGAGAAATAGAGTAGAGTAGCGAAATGGGCAGTCACTTTCATATGTTCTTGCTTGAGTGAGAGTTGTATTAATTTTTCTTCAGGGCAATATGTACTTTTGAAGTGCATACATTTTGACCCAGAAATGACTGTTCTTAGGGCAATTTATCTTAGGGAAATAACTGGAAAAGCGCCCAAAGAAGTATATTCATTACCGCATTGAATACTGAAAAATTAAAAATAATTCCAATATCCATTCATAATTTAAATTGTGATATGCATATATATATATATATATATATATATATGGATGAATGGATAGACAGATACACTTTATAGTTAAAAATCATACTATGATATAAATAACTGAATAAATAAGAAAACAGAAAGCGCTTCCTTACAGAGAATTGTAAGTATTAAATATAGAAGAAAAGAGAAATAGAAAATCATTTGGCAGACCCCATACTAATTGTAAAAGGCAAGTATCATTAATGGATACTAAAATTAGTGGATAAAAGTATGATGAGAAACAGAATATTTGCAAGGGGAAAAATAGTAATTTTGGGGAATAAAACTGGCATTTCACTACCTTAATTAAGTGACTGAAGCTTACATCACCAGTAATACGTTGACCAGTTAACATTATCAACATCAAGTACCTCATGATATGATTCACTGAGATGGGGATAAAAACACTTTTGTAGTCCTTATGCCAAAAATGTGGTATCTTTGCCAAAGAAACGTAACTTCGATCTAATCATAAGAAAACATTAGGCGCACCCAAGTTGACAGACAAAAGAACCGGCCAGTACTCTTTAAAAATGTTAAGTCTGAGGAAGTATCCCAGATTGGACAAGACTAGGAATACATAACTAAATGCAATGTGGGATCATGGATTAAATCTTGGACAAGAAAAATGACATTAGAGGAACAATTGGTAAAATTCTAATAAGGTGTACAGATTAATTAATAGTATTGTATCAGTGTTAATTTTCTGGTTTAGGTCACAATACTATAGTTATGTAGGATGTTACCCTACATCTAGAAGAAGCTGGATGAAAGATAAATAGGAGCTGTATGTATATTTTTGTAACTTTTTTGAAAATCTAAAGTTATATCAAAATTAAGAGTTAAAGTAAAAAAAGTATATTACAGATATATATTTACTGAAGGAGCAATGTCCATGAATACTCTTAAAGAAAAGCAGGTTATAACACAGCACATAAAATACGATTCAATTTTATTTTAAATATTTATAAGCATTCATTCAATTATTTGAGAATGAATATGTATTTAATGATAAATGACTCAAAATTAACATAAAATATAAACATTAAATGAGATAAAAAATGTTAACAGTGAGCATCTCTGGGTGATAAGATTACAGATGATGTTTAGCTTCTTTTATCTTTTCTTCAATTTCTGAATTTTTAGCAATGAACATGTATTTTTTTTTTTAAGATTTTTAAAAAATTTTTTATTGGGGAATTGGGGGGATGGGAACAGTGCTGGGGAATTGGGGGAAGGGGAATAGACAAGTTGCTCTGGTTTTGTTCTTCAGTCTAGTTGTGGAGGACGTTGCTTCACTGGCCCAAGTTGGCACCATCATTGTGCTCTTCCCGGGCGAGGCAGATCAGTCGCCTGCTTCTGGACGGCTGCTCACTGCAGCTGCTGGCCGCTCACGCTGGCTGCTGGCTACATGCGGTAGCCCATGGCAACCCACTGCCACAGGGGCTGCAGTATACGACTTCACCAGCGACTCACGGCCGCCCAGCTCCAGGTTGAGCTGTTGTTCAGCATCTTAGCTGTGGAGGGCAGTGTCACTGGCCCTCATATGTGGGATCCGAACCGGGGCCCTCTGGCGTCCCAAGCCAGTTCTTAACCATCGTGCCACTCGGCCGGCCCAAACATGTATTTTTTTTAATTATTAAAAAGAGAAAAAATAATTTTAAAAGAAAGTAAGTGAAGAAGGATACGAAAAAACATAAACAGAAGCCACAAAAACCTATAAAATGTATAAGCTTATAGATGCATAAAATGTCACAAGTATATATAAGAAACTGATATACAGGAAAAACTGTTTCCTTCAGGGAACAGAACTGTGTGGTTATAGGAAAGTGGTGGTAAGGGGTCTTTTAATCATATAGCCTTTTGCACCTTTGATTTTTGAACCATGTGATTAAATTACCTATTTAAACATAAATAAATAAAAAAGAATCAAAGTGACAAAGTCTGTTCCAAAAAATCTCAAAAAACCCCACATAAAATAAAAAAGTGCAAGACAGGGGCGCCGGTTAGCTCAGGTGGTTAGAGCGCAGGCTTGTAACACCAAGGTTGCCAGTTCGATCCCCACATGGGCCACCGAGATGTGTCCTCCATAACTAGACTGAAAAAATTACTTGACTTAGAGTTGATGGGTCCTGGAAAAACACACTGTTCCCCCACCCACCCCCAAAAAAGCGAAAGACAGAAAAAAACAAAAAGAAGAGAAAACCTATATATTTGTAATGAGTGGGCCATAAATATGGCTTTAAACTTTATAGACCCACCCTAGAAGGAAACCTAATCAGTTACACAACTCACAGTGGCTATAAAATAAAACAAAATCCATAGCTCAAGCAAATTCTAACTGGTCCTTATACTAGGATCAGAAAGAAACTTGCCTTAAGGATCCACATGAAAAGGCTGTGTAACACAACAATTAAACCCTTCACTAAGAGCTTTAATAGAGACCCATGGAGGTGATTCATCAGGGCACTTCACAAGGGATCTCTCAATCTAAACAAATGGCACTCCCCACCCCCACCCCAGAGCAGTAAAAAAAACTCTACAGAGGACCAGGAACATCAGGAACATCAGGAACATCACTCTCCACTGGTTTAATCCAGAGGAAGATTCTAGATTATGTAGCTAGAGGGACAGACTGCACACCTTTCAGGCAATTGTCTAAAATGTATTTTCTCTCATATATGTTTTGTCTAGATACTGTATACCAGTGAATTTGTTAATGTGTTCTCTGGCAAGTGCCTGGAATGTGGCTCTGCTATCTTGATGATTAAATATGACCTCAATTATTTAATAGATAATTGATCTGGGGGAAGACTCAACTGCATGTAAAAACATTTTTAAAAAAACAAACACTACCATTTATTACCACCATCTATAACATTAAAAAGTGTAGGAGGGCTGGCCGAGTGGCTCGTTGGTTAAGAGTTGGCTTGGGAGCATGAGCTCTGAGCAGCAGGGCTGCTGGTTTGGATCCCACATAAGGGCCAGTGACGCTGCACCCTCTATAGCTAAGATAGTGAACAACAGCTCGACCTGGAGCTGGGCTGCCGCGAGTCGACGGCGACAGCGTAGGCTGCAGTGGAGATGCAGTGGACTGCCATAAGCTACTGTGAGTGTCCGGCAGCCAGTGTGAGCGACTGGCTGCTGGCGTGAGCTGCCGTCCAATGGGCAGAGACCGACTGCCTCAGCCGGAAAGAGCGTAATGATCACAATACCAACATGGGCCAGTGAAGTGGTGTCTTCCACAACTAGACTGAAGAACAAAAGGACAGCAACTTGTCTGTTCCCCTTCCCCGATTCCCCAATAAAATCTTAAAAAAAAAAAGTGTAGGAAGAGCATAAACTTACAATATTTTTATTTTAATATATTTAGCTTTATGATACGCTTCTTACAATGTCCTTATTTATATTATTTTGGTGCACGTGATTGAAAACTTTGGCATGGTCGGGAAGCCAAGTGGCTCAGTTGGTTAAGAGCGCAAGCTCTAAGCAACAGGGTCGCTGGTTCGATTCCCACATGGGCCAGTGAGCTGCCAACAGGTGGCGGGATGGTTCAGCTGGTAAGAGCACGTGCTCCTAACAACAACTTTGCCGGTTCACTCCCTCATGGGATGGTGGGCTACACCCACCTGCAACTAAGACTGAACATGGCACCTTGAACTAAGTGGCTGCAAGCTGCCGACAGGCAGCCAGAAGGCGACTGGACTTGGAGCTGAGCTAGCTGTGCCCTCCACAACTAAGATTGAAGGACAACAACTTGGCCGTTCCCCTTCCCCAATAAGATTTAAAAAAAAAAAAAAAAGAAGAAGAAGAAGAAGAAGAAGAAAAAACTTTGGCATGGTCTACAGTGAGTTTGGGAGCATCTTAGCTATAGAGTACCAAAATCTTCCAGAATATACGAGTGAATCTATTCTATGTGGAAAAGAATAATCAGGGCCCCCAAATTCTATTACATATAACAATGTTTCAATAATATTTTGCTGGAAATATTTTAATGTAGGTTTCACAAAATGCCTGTTTGGATTAAAAAACAAAAACAAACAAAAAAAATCAATTAAAAAAACCCCAAATAACCCATAGCTTTAAGCCATTCTTTTTCCTAGCGTACCCTACAAAATAAAAACTGTGAAACGTACACCAGAGCAACTGAATAACATTTATGCATCATGGAATTAGTATCTAACAACTAATGTTTTTGAATAGTTGATCATAAAAGCTAATTAGTTATGACCAACTATTCTAAAACATAAGTTGGTGTTTTGTTTTGTTTTGTTTATAAAGTCTCTCAACTTTTAACAGATAAATCCCATAAAGTAAGAATTCTCATTTAGTTACATTGTTATCCTTTTCTTATGGGTGATATAAAAGCATATCACCTAG